GACAAGTCACACGACTCGTGTGAGCTCACACGACTCGTGTGACAAGGTCGAAACTTAATTTGAATGATACTTTGAGTCACACGACTCGTGTGACTTGTAAAAACTTCAATTCCTTAACTTAGTTACCCTCAAAATATCTCGATTTTGAAGATAAATTGATACTTAACTGAAGGGGATATTACAATCTACCCCCCCTTAAATTATTTCCGCCCTCGGAAATATTGAAACTGGAAATAGAAACTTACTGAGATCATCAAAACTTGAAGTCTGGAAATCGAGCTCTAATATCTGCTTCTCGTTCCCAAGTGGCATCTGATTCTCCATGTCGATTCCACTTGATACGAACAAGTGGAACATCTCGCTTCCGGAGTCTATGAACCTTTCGGTCCAAAACATCTACCAGCTTCTCCTCATAAGTCAAATCTGGTTGAATTTGTATCTCATTGTGCTGCAACACATGATCTGGATCGCACACATATGGACACAGCATCGATACATGAAAAACATTATGCACGCTTGCCAACTCAGGAGGTAAAGCTAATCGATAAGATACTTCTCCAACCCGTTCAAGAACTTCAAACGGACCTATATAGCGAGGATGCAACTTTCCTTTCTTCCCAAAACGAATAACCCCTCTCATAGGTCGAACTTTCAAGAATACTTATTCTCCCACCTCAAATTGCATTTCTCGCCTATGCTTATCTGCTGAAGACTTATGTCGACTTTGAGCAGTCTTGAGTCTTTCTCGAATCCAGGCTACTTGCTCAATAGTTTCTTCAATCATCTTTGGGCCAAGTACTTGCTTCACTCCAACATCGTCCCAATAAAGAGGTGAACGACACTTGCGGCCATAAAGTGCTTCATAGGGAGCCATTCTAATTGATGAATAATAGCCGTTGTTGTAGGCAAATTCCACTAACGGCAACCACTTCTCCCATTTGGAACCTCTATCCAGAATACAAGCTCTGAGCATATCTTCAAGTGTCTGGATCGTCCTTTCTGACTGGCCATCTGTCTCTGGAAGATAAGCCGAACTGAAACTCAACTGCGTACCCATTGCTTCATGAAAACATCCCCAAAAATTACTAGTGAATCTGGGATATCGATCAGATATGATTGTGACAGGCACTCCATGAAGTCGAATAATTCCACGAGTATAAATTTCTGCTAGCTTGTCCATCGACATAGTCATTGATACAGGCATAAAACGAGCGACTTTCGTCAACCTGTCTACTACTACCCAAATCGCGTCATGTTGTTCTGATGACTTAGGTAGCCCTGTAACAAAATCCATGGTAACTTCTTCCCACTTCCATTTAGGAATCTCTATTGGTTGCAACTGGCCTAATGGACTCTGGTGCTCGGCCTTAACTTGCTGACAGACCAAACACTTCTTCACAAAATCTGCTGCATCTCTCTTCATCCCTTTCCACCAAAATGACTTTTTCAAGTCATGATACATTTTGGTGCTTCCAGGGTGAGCTAAATATGGTGCACTATGTGCTTCAGTCAAGATCTCCTTCCGCAAGGCCTCGACTTTTGGCACAACAATCCTTCCTCTGAACTCCAATGCTCCATCGGAACCTTGGTAAAATCCTTCTACTCCTCCAGCTTGAACTTTTTCTTCCATCTTCCGAACAAATTGATCAAAAGATTGCTCCTTCTGAATTCTTTCTCTCAGCATGGGCTGAACTCTCATTGAGTTAACCCTTCCAGTAACCTCCTTAGGAAGTGTCTTGACAACTTCAATCTGCATCCGAGCAAACTCTTTAATAAGTTGATTCTGTTGAGTGATACAACATGCCAATCCACCCTTTACCTTATGGCTTAGGGCATCTGCTACCACATTTGCCTTCCCCGGATGATATTGGATAGTGCAATCATAATCCTTCACAAGCTCCAACCATCTTCTTTGGCGCATATTGAGCTCCTTCTGAGTGAATATATATTGCAAACTCTTGTGATCAGTGAATATTTCACACTGGCCACCACAGAGATAATGCCTCCAAATCTTGAGTGCGTGCACTACTGCTGCCAACTCTAAATCATGAGTTGGATAATTCTGCTCATGCGGTTTTAATTGTCGCGACGCATATGCAACAACTTGACCATCTTGCATGAGTACACATCCAAGACCCCTTTTCGAAGCATCACTATAAATAGTGAAACTTCTAGTAGGATCAGGGATAATCAGCACTGGAGTTGATGTAAGCTTCTTCTTCAGCTCTTGGAAACTCTTCTCACAACGATCAGACCACTCGAACTTCGCAGATTTTCT